CTTCTTCTTCTTCTTCTTCTTCTTCTTCTTCTTCTTCTTCTTCTTCTTCTTCTTCTTCTTCGTTCTTCTTCTTTGTCGTAGTCTTTCGCAGATGGTCCATGCTGAAACGTCAGCTAAGGGCTGACCTTCCTGTGGATGATTCTTATCCACCTCCCTCGATCGGCAGCGTCATCCTCCGTTACTCCTAACCTTCTCATCTCTGCCTCCACTCCATCCCTCCATCTAATTCTCTCTCGTCCTTCTTCCTCTCACCGGCTCCTACCATTCTCTCTTCATTTGCTCCTCATCTCTCTTCCTAACCACATGCCCATACCCAGGGTTCAACATTAACTTTTTATTTCACTAGACCACCGGGCTAGTAACTCAGAAAAACCACTACCACTGACGTAACTTTCACTAGCCCAGACCCAGACCATTGTTATGCAAAACTCTAATTTAGATATAAGAGTGTGTCGTCGTATGAATTCATAGATGCTGTTAGTAACATAATTATGAATAATAAAGTATGTATTTTTAACTGCAATACTATTACACGGTAACCTGTCACCTGACGTAAAGCCAAACTTAAATAAAGACATCCTTTATGAGTACTGGTTAGCAAGCTGCACTATAGTTTACTGAGCTACACACCGTACAGATCATAGCAGGAGCTAATAATGACAATAAATATTTGTCATTATTAGCTCCTGATCATAGCTTACAAGTGCGAGCGTTGTTTCCCCGTTCCCGTGCTTTAAATCGCGCGCGGCATACACAGGCGGCGGGCGCACGGTTTATTGATCGTCTGGCAGCAAGCCACATTGTTTTTGCCGAAGGGTAGACTGGTATCCGGCCTCACGCTCTGCTAGACAATGTACACGCTCTGAGACAAACGGTGCGGCCGCGAACCAGTCTAGCCAGAGGTGACCTTTCAGTGCACGCTGGGTTAATGGGCTAGACACTGACAGACCTCACCTGTATTGTTTTAAGCACGAACACTGTAATAAAGATTCGATGTTTTGCCTTGCACTGACATTGTCATTGTGAAAATTGTGCATTTTGTAATTACAAATGTGAATTATAAGGCAGAAGGGTGTGAAATGATGTCATGTAACTCTATGGCACAGTATGTGCGAGTACTATATGACCAATTCTAACACGACCAGTTGGGCTACTAGCACTCTGGTTGTATGCGACCGGACCAAGCATTTACCCGACTAGGTCGGTCGGACGTGGGTTAGTGTCAAACCCTGCCATACCATCTCATCCTACTTTGCATTTAAGCCTCGTTTCTACCTGAGCTCGGACAAAGAGCCGCGTACGCTTTACTTTTCGGGTCGCGCTTCTCCTTAATGCGGTTTTTTTTTTCCAACGGACTCCCTACTCTCAAAAAGAGGGAGTCCGCAGCAAAATGAGGGAGTCCGCAGTCTGAAGTTCAAAATTTAAGATATTAACAATAACGCATGTGCTTATTTTTTAAGGTTCATGCGGTTGCACGTCTGCCAAATTTTCTTTGGACTTTTACTGAAAAAATACGGTAATTCCGCGAGGCCGTGCTCTGGAACGAACTAGTTAGAATGGCAGAATTTTCAGGGAGTCACACGGAGTCTTACATATGTCAAATCAGGGAGTCCGACAGTAAATCAGGAAGTATTTGACTCCGGACTCCCGTTACTTTCGCACCCTGAGTATGGATCCGAAAAACAACGATCGCTGCGGTCACGTTAACAGTGGTAACGATTGTTGTAGTGATGCTGACGTTCATCATGGCAGCGATTGTTGTCATGGCGATTCACTGGGTGTTGTCACGTGGTGTTGGTCCCTGTGACGACATTCACTGTGGTGAGGGTCACCGGGGCAACGATTGTCAACGCAACATGTTGTCGTAGCAGTGATCACCGTGGTGACAATCGCCGTGGCAACGCTTTTGTTCGTTTGCAGGTGACTTTGGGCAGCTGAGCTTCACGCGCAGCGAGGCTGTGCCGACCTTCCTCGAGCGTTTTGCGTGGCTTCGCTCACTACAGGATGCGTTGCCACGGCTACAGGCAGACGTCATCGAGGAGATGGTAGGTGTGCCCCGACAGCGGGCAGGGAGGCAGAGGGCGGTATCTGTGGTAACGACCCCCCCGGGGGCTTTCTCATAGGATTTGTTTGCTCGACCCAAGGTCCTAGATCTCCATAGCCCTGAGCCACATGCTGATGTTTAATAGCAATGTCACTCCACATAGGCTCACAATCCCAATGCACACTAAACGTGTTCAACTCACGTATTAATGATGCCGTCTGCAATAGATGTACTCTAATGGATGTGGTTTATCGTAGAGCAGCATCTACGATGGGATATACGTATAAGGCAACTTAGGCAAGGGTGAACGATCATTTCTATTTGGCTACGTACACGGCCTGGTAAGATGCGACCGTATGAGGCAAGGGTGAATGTTTATTTCTACAGGGGCTGGACAGCGAAGCATTGGAGGCCCTGCTGCAGGTAGTACCAGAGGCAGAGGGCACTGCCTCCATCTTGGACGTGAATGGGATATCTCTGGTGATGGCCCTCACAGGTTGGTGCGAAGCCAGGTAAGCGTGCTCGCACTATTTACGTTGATCCGTCCGACCGTTCAACAACTTTACAACTGATAACCTTACTCGTATAACGGACAACTTTACAACTGATAACCTTACTCGTATAACGGACAACTTTACAACTGATAACCTTACTCGTATAACGGACAACTTTACAACTGATAACCTTACTCGTATAACGGACAACTTTACAACTGATAACCTTACTCGCTTATAAACGGACGGACTTAAAACCAACATGATAACCTTACTCGCTATATTTAACGGACAACTTTACAAACTGATAACCGTTACTCGTATAACGCGAGCAACTTAACAACTTGATAACCTTACTCGTATTAACTGCACAACTTTACAAACTGATAACCTTACTCGTATAACGGACAACTTTACAACTGATAACCTTACTCGTATTTAACGGACAACTATACAACTGATAACCTTACTCGTATAATAATGGACAACTTTACAACTGATAACCTTACTCGGGATAATAAACGGAACAGGACTTAACAAACTGAGTACACCTTACTCGTATAATAAGCGGACAACTTTACAACTGAGAACCTTACTCGCTATAATGGACAATCTTAACAACTGATAACCATTACTCGTATAACGCGACAACTTAACAACTAATAACACTTAACTGTATAACGGCAACTTTACAACTCGATAACCGTACTCGTATTATAACGGACAACTTTAGCTCGGATAACCTTACCGTAGAACGGACAACTTGTTACAACTTGATAACCTTACTCGTATAACGACAAACTTAACAACTGATAACCTTACTCGGTAAACGGAGCAACTTAAAACTGATAACCTTATCTTCGTATAACTGGCACAACTTTACAACTTATAACCTTACTCGGTATTAATAACGGCGCACAACTTTACAACTGCATAACCTTACTCGTATAATAACGCCGACGACTAACAACTGATAACCTTACTGCGTATAATAACGGAGACAACTTTTACAACTGATAACCTTACTCGCATATAATGCGAAACTTTACAAGCTGAGAACCCTTTACTCGTATAATAAACGCGACAACTTTACAACTCATAACCGTACTCGTATAATAACGGACGACTTAAAACAACTGATAACCTTACTCGTATAATAACGCCGACAACTTTACAACTATAACCTTACTCGTATAATGGACAACTTAAAACAACTGATAACCTTACTCGTATAACGGACAAACTTAACAACTGCATAACCCTTACTCGCTATAACGGACAACTTTACAAACTGAGAACCTTACTCGTATAACGACAACTTTACTCTGATAACCTTACTCGCTAAACGAACAACTTTACAACTGATAACCTTACTCGTATTAAGCTGCGTTTACGACTATCGATTTTGTCAGCAAATCGCTGCCGATTTTCAAGCGACTCCAACTTTGCCCCCGACCATTGACCCACATAAGAAGTTGGTGTGAGCTGTTGTGTACACTATCGATTTTTGTCAGCAAATCGTACCGCATGTAATCTTCTTAACGCTAACCTTAACTTACCGCTCTATCCAGCTCACGGCGCTATTCTTCTCACCACGCTACCACTCTTCTTATCACGATTCTTGCCTACTCTCTACTTCTACTTCTACTACGCCGCCGAAGCAACGCGCCGACAAACATTTCGTTTTTCTCAAAATAAATCTATAAATGCCATCGTTTTGTCCGTGTTTTGGGCCCGCCGCCATTGTTGCACTATGTATCCACGGTTTGAAAGTTTTTAAGCAATTAGATTTATCCAACTCGCCGATTTCACGAATCCGAATTGTAGCAAAATAGAACACGCGTTCTATTTCGCCAATCTTCGTCGCAGCTTGTCTCCGCACTCCGACACCAACACAATCGGAATTTCAGCCCATTGTGTTGGACGGTGATGGTGTTCAACTTGAAATCCGGTACGATTTGCTGGACAAAAATCGATAGTTAAACCCAGCATTTATAACGGACAACTTTACTCTGCATTAATCTGTTTTGCTTCATTATTGTGGACGCCTGCTGCGTGCGTTCGAGTTTGCCTCGAAGCCCTAGGTAACTTCTTACAAAATGTCGCAATTTCAGGCAACAGCAATCCGTAAAAAAAAGAAATCCATTGAAATTCAATAGAAACTAGACAGAGGGCACTCACGGAGAGTGCATACCTCCGCCAGCATGTAACATGTATGTGTTACGAAGCTGCGCTCGCGCTGCTGCTGCTGCTGCCTGACTCGACCGCTAATATCGATCGCTCGAACACACACACGCTAAACAGACCAACGCGACGGGAACGCCACTAGACCGATCACATAACCTCCCCTCCAACTCCGTTGCGGCGGACGTAACAAGTGTCCTACAGCCATGTGAAAGTGCTCGTACAGCAGGGCCTGTGCCAGTGTACGCCGTAGTTTTGGCGGCCGGCGCTCCCGAATTCCCCTTCTCCTCGGCCATTCACCCACACGGACCGCGAACAATCCATGATGGCCACACTTCCCCCAAACCCCAATCTTCCTACTCTTCCCTGCCCACACAGAGTTAGAAGAAGATGATCGATTCCCCCATGTCGTAGGCCGCTATGATCTAATGGCGATCCATAGGTGTGTCACATCCTCCGATGGAAACAAATCTGTGATGTTCCACTACACTTCCCCAATGATCTTCTCACTCTTTCCTGCCCCATGCCACGCACGCACGCATATTTATGTGCACACACACACACACACACACACACACACACACACACACCACACACACACACACACACACACACACAACACAACACACCACACACACCACACACACACACACACAAATCGCAGGCACAGCACACCCACCACACACTCCACACACACAACACACAAACACACACACACACACACACACACACACACACACACACATCACACGTGCATCACACCATCTTTTGGAAGGAAGGAACGGAACAACATAACCCCCACGCCTCATCCACAACTAAACCGGTCCGTGAAACCGTTCTTAAAAGGCGAAACGCATTCCCGACGCCTCGCCGGCAGTGGCTGTAACAATGACAGGTCCCGCTTCTCTCAGGCCACCAGCCAGGAATGAGTATTGTGGACCCCAGAGCGCCGCAAAAATATTTTGGAGTGCAATTTTACAAATGTACACGGCTTTTAGATCAATACTTTTTTAGGCCCGTGCTACACATTTTTGGCCGTGCAGTTTCAAAACTGGGACCGCTGCCCAAATCACGGCTGCACGGCTCGGCTCGCTGGCTAATACCAAGCAGTAGATAATTAACGCCATCACTGTGTTATAACGCCGACACATAACATTAACATAACGCTAACATAACATAACATAACATAACATAACATAACTAAAATAACATAACATAACATAAACATAACATAACATAACATAAAATAACATAACATAACATAACATAACATAACATAACATACACATAGCATAGCATAAAGCAATAAAATAACCATAACGCCTTAAACATAACATAACATAACATAACCATAAAATAACATAACGTAACATAACATAAACATAATCATAAACATAACATACCATAGCATAACATAGCATTAACAAGCATAGCCATAGCATAGATAACATTAACACAACACAACACAACACAAACACAACAACAACACAACACACACAACACAACACAACACAACACAACATCAACACAAACACAACACAACACACACTAACATCAACACAACACAACACAACACAACACAACCACAACACAACACAAACACACACAACACAACAACACAACACAACACAAACACAACACAACATTAACACGCATGTGTTATTATCTACTCTTGCTAATACGTTGGTTCTCGCTCGTTGTGCACTGCGCGCAGGTTGCTGACCCGCCCGGATATCCGCATGAAGGTGGCCGACGTGCACGTTCTGCAACCGCCGCGCCGCTCCTTCTGCGAACTTCTACAGCATGTCGCCCGCCACGACGCACGAGAGAGGAGGAGGCCAGCGAAGGAGACCCCGAACGGGGAAGCCCTTCCGACGACGCGCCGCCCCTGCCCCGTGACAGCGAACGGAGGCTTGGTGCAGTCGCGAGCACGCGGTCGCCACGACGACCGGAGTCGGCTTCGCCGCCATCTGTCGGTGACAGAGCGCGTTTTAGCCGTGTCGCTTTCCTCTTATTGCTTCCCCCTGCTGCAGCTTTCTGCGCATAGCAAAACTTTCCAGCACGGAGTTGAATTTCCTAATGCGGGGCATATTGCTGCGCGAATGTCGTTACTCCTTCGTTATCATAATTAATATATTCTATAATTATTGAGAATTTACGTAGCATATTGCGTCTTTGCATCGTTCTGGCTAGTCTCTGCGGGCATTGCCTGCAAATGCGCTAACTCCTCATTATCATAATTAATATACTCTAAATTACTGCAGAATTACATAGATATTCGTCTGTTGCTCGTCTATCGGTGGTCTCCGCCACCCTGGGACGCATGTTTAAATAATCCGAGTTTCCCCTAACCGGGCGCGCGCCTGCCTGCCAAACGCCGCCCTACTCCTCGTTACCAGAATTAATCTATCTCGTAATTATCAAACGAGCTTATTCGCTCATCGCGCCATCATGTCGTCTCTGTCCGTCGTGACAACCCCTCTGTCACGCGTTGCTTCCGCGCTTCACGCCGTTTCGCTCCGTTTCTTCGCAGCGAGTCGAGAAGAAGTGCTTCGACCCGACTCTCGCCAAAGCATCTCACCTGGTGCTCCGTGGATCTCGTCCGACTACGTCGCCGTGCATTGCCCGCGGCAACCGAAAGGCTGGCGGTGCGCGATTTCCGGCGGCAGACGACAACGCCCGCAGAAAGACGGCGAAATACGAAGAGGTGAGGGGTTGCTCGCCTATGTGCAGCCATGCAAGAACTTTCCGGCGATCTCGCGGCGTTTTGGTTTTGCATTTTAGCATCTTGAGATTGGTGCCCAAAAAAAACTAATAAAACAGTTTTAGGGGGTCCTACTGTGTACTTTTTTGTCAAAATGGACGCCCATTTTTAATTTAAACCTCATAAAGGTCCGGCGAAAAGTAACGTAAAAATTTCAAACAGAAGTAACGCGAACGCCAGATAAATATCGCGTGTAATCTATGAATGTAAATGAAGCCATGCTTAAGTTAACGCCACATAAAACCATTGAAATTTTCATAGGAAGTGGACAAGACTTTGAATTTTAGTCACGAAATTATCTTTAACTAAGATGGAATGGACTTGCAATTTTCGCCAGAATGCCATGGAAATGGCCTGTCTGCCCTTCCAATTTCAAAATTTCCTAGGGGCGCCACCCCCCCCCCACCAGACCCACCTAAGCAGGACAGTGTGCTACTAATGCCCACACTTGATTATCTTGCCCTCGCGCACGAATTGAAATATTTCCTTCAAAAACATCTCAAACTGTTCTCATGCCTTGTATGTGACCGTGATGCTGTGTGTGTGTGTGTGGGGGTGGGGCGGGGGTTTTACACCTTTCTCCTCTTCTTAATATCCTGATACAGTTGAAGGCAGCAGTGGCCTGCGGGGGAAAGTGCCTGTTGGTTTGTCTAATGCATAGTCAGAACCTTCAGTTCGGAAAGAAAAGTTTAGGAAGTGTCATCACATATATACTGGCCTTGCAATAGTTGTGTGACAGAAGCTCCACACTAAGGAGCAGCGAATCAATGAGCTGTCATTGGCACAGTAGCAAGAAGAGAAGCGAGCATAGGTGTGTGTAGTGGCTGAGAGGGGGGACGTAGAGAGATAGAGAGAGAGATACTGGGCAGGAAAGCACACGGAGAGAGGAGATAGGCAGGAAGACCACGGAGAGAGAGAGATAACGGCAGCGCAAAGACACTGAGAGAGAGATATATAGGCGAGGAAAGACACTAGAGAGGCGAGAGAGAGATAGGGAGGCAAAGACAGAGCAGAGCAAGAGAGACGAGAGAGAGGGAGGGAGGTAATGAGGAAGAGAAAGAGAGAGAGAGCGATAGAGACGGAGACAGACAGTGTGGGAGGTGTATACCTGTACACTCCGTCTACGCAGCTGTGACATCCACGTTTCGCTCGCCCGCAGGTGCCGCGCGACGCCGTGACGACGATCTCGCAGACTCCCCGCGTGGAAGATGCTGCTGCCACATCCTCGTGCCGAGCGTGAGTGGACTGTGAGACGGGGCTTCACGCGCTCGTAGACCTAGCAACGGTAAGCATCCCGCCATGTCGCCCTGCCGCGTCGTGTCACGTGTGAGACGGGGCTTCACGCCCGCCTCGTATAGGACCTCAGCGCAACGGCTAAGCATCCCGCCATGTCACCCTGCCGGCGTTCACGTGTGAGCACGGGGCTTCACGCGCTCGCTAGACCTGACAACGGTAAAGCATCCCGCATCGTCGCCCTGCCGCGTCGTGTCACGTGTGAGACGGGGCTTCACGCGCTCGTAGACCTAGCAACGTCGTAAGCATTCCCGCATGTTCACCCTGCCGTTAGCGTCCACGCTGTGAGACGGGGCTTCACTCGCCGCTCGTAGACCTAGCAACGGTAAGCATCCCGCCATGTCGCCCTGCCGCGTCACGTCACGTGTGAGACGGGGCTCAGCGCTCGTAGACCTAGCAACGGTAAGCATCCCGCCATGTCACCCTGCCGCGTCGTGTCACGTGTGAGACGGGGCTTCACGCGCTCGTAGACCTAGCAACGGTAAGCATCCCGCCATGTCGCCCTGCCGCGTCACGTGTGAGACGGGGCTTCACGCGCTCGTAGACCTAGCAACGGTAAGCATCCCGCCATGTCACCCTGCCGCGTCACGTGTGAACGGCGCTTCACGCGCCTCGTAGACTAGCACGGTAAAGCATCCCGCCCCATGTCACCTGCCCGCGCTCGTGGCACGCTGTGAGCACTGGAGGCGTCACGCGCTCGCTAGACCTTAGCAACGCGTACAGCAATCCCGCCAATGTCGCGCCTGCCGCTGTCACGTGTTTTTGAGACGGCGGCTTCACGCGCTGCGTAGACCTTAGGCAACGGTAAAGCATCCCCACCATGTCGCCCCTGGCCGCGTCGCGTCACCGTTTGAGACGGGGTTCACGCGCTCGCTCAGCACCTCAGCCAACGCGTACTAGCCATCCCGCCATGTCACCCTGCCGCCGTTCACGTGCTGAGACGCGCGCTTCACGCGCTCGTAGCACCGGAAAGCAACGCCGTAAGCATCCCGCCATGTCACCCTGCGCCGCCGCTCACGTGTGCCAGGACGGAGTCTTCAACGCCGCCCTCGTAGACCTAGCAACGGTAAGCATCCCGCCATGTCACCCTGCCGCGTCGTGTCACGTGGCTGAGAACGGGGATTCACGCCGCCTCGTAGTAAGACCTAGCAACGGTAAGCATCCGCCACCACTGTCGCCCTGCTGCCGTCACGTGTGAGACTGGCGGCTTCACGCCGCTCGTAGACCTAGCAACCGGTAAGCAGCCTGCCATGCCGCCCTGCCCGCCGTCACGTCACGTGTGAGACGGGGCTTCACGCCCTCGTTAGCGACCCTAGCAACGGTAGCATCCCGCCATATCGCCTGCCGCGTCGCTGTCACGTGTGAGACGCGGGCCTTCACACGCTCGTAGACCTAGCACGGTAAGCATCGCCGCCATGTCACCCCGTGCCGCCGTCGTGTCAGCGTGTGGAGACGGCGGGCTTCACGCGCTCTAGACCTAGCACAACGGTAAGCATCCCGCCACTCGGTTCGCCTGCGCGTTTCACGTGTGAGACGGGGCTTCACGCGCTCGTAGACCTAGCAACGGTAAGCATCCCGCCATGTCGCCCTGCCGCGCAGTGTGAGACGGGGCTTCACGCGCTCGTAGACCTAGCAACGGTAAGCATCCCGCCATGTCGCCCTAGCCGCCGCTCGCGTTCACGTGCATGAGACGGCGGCACTTCACTGCGCTCGTAGACCTAGCCCAACGGTAAGCATCCACCATAGCTCACCCCTGCACATCCGCCGTCACGTGTGAGACGGGCCTGCCACCAGCGCTCGTAGACCTAGCAACCCGTAAGCATCCCGCCATGTCGGCCTGCCCGCGTCACGTGCGGAGACGGGGCTTTCACGCCTGCTCGTAAGACCTACAACGCGCTAAGCATCCCGCATGCCGCCCTGCCGCCCGTCACGCGTGTGAGACTCGGCTTATCGGCCCGCTCGCTAGACCTTAGCAACGGTAAGCATCCCGCCATGATCGACCCTGCCCGCCGCTACACGCCGTGGAGACGCGGCTATCACGCGGCGTCGTTAGCACCTAGCAACGGTATAGCATTCGCCATGTCGCCCGCCGCGTCGTGTTCACCGTGTGAGACGGAGCGTCACGCGCATCGTAGCACCTAGCAACGGTAAGGCATCCGCCATGTCCCGTCGCCCTGCCGCGCTCACGTGTGAGACGGGCTTCACGCTTGCTCGATAGACCTAGCAACGGTAAGCCATCCCGCCATGTCGAACCCATGCGCGCATCGGTGTCACTCTGTGAGACGGGGCTTCACGGCGCTCGTAGACCTGCAGCAACCGGTAAGCATCCCGTCCACTGTCGCCCTGCCCGCCGTCACGGCACGGTGAGACGCGGGCTTCACGCGGCTCGTAGGACCTAGCCAACGGTAAGGCATCCCGCCATGTCACCCTGCTGGCTCACGCTGTGAGACGGGGCTTTCACGCGCTCGCTACGACTAGCAACGGCGTTTAAGCATCTCCGCCATGTCGCCTGAACTGCCGCGCTCGTGTCACGTGTGCAGCACGCGCGGTTCACGCGTCGTAACCTTAGCAAACGCGTCAAGCATCCCGCCATGTCGCCTGCCGCGTCGTGTCACGTGTGAGACGGGGCTTCACGCGCTCGTAGACCTAGCAACGGTAAGCATCCCGCCATGTCGCCTGCCGCCGTCGTAGTCACGTGTGAGACGGGCTTCACGCCTCGTAGACCTAGCAAACGGTAACATCCACGCCATGTCAGGCCCCCCTGCCGCGTCGTAGCGACAGTGTGAGACGGGCTTCACGCGCTCTTAGATGCCTCACAACGGGCTAAGCATCCCGCCATGTCCACCCTGCCGCCGTCACGTCACCCTGTGAGACGGGGCTTCATCGCCGCTCGTAGACACCTAGCCAACTCGGTAAGCATCCCGCCATGTCGCCCCTGCCGCGTCGTGTCACGTGTGAGACGGGCTTCACCGCCCGCTCGTAGACTAGCAACGGTAAGCCCACGCCATCCCGCCATGCCTCACCCTGCCGCCGTCACGTCGCTGAGACGCGGGCTTTCACGCCGCTCGTTAGACCC